TATTATTAACATTAATATTTTATTTTTTATTAAAAAATTAATACTTTTTTTTTATGTTCGCAGGCAAATTTGCCTGCGTTACAGATGAAGGGATAAGCTATAGTCATTAGTGTAAGATTATTCTAAGAATTGTTACATTTTTGAGTAAGTTGATTAATATGATTTTATTGAGTAGTATTAAGCTGTCTATATCTATTAACATTCTGTTATAGCTGAACTATCTGATTATCTCTGTAATCTCATTGATCAATAACATTATCTATATTCTAATATACAGACTAATAATTATACTAGAAAGTATTCAAAGAACCACTAATGCCATTTATAATATTGATAAGATTATTTAATGGTATTTTAGCTCCTCTAAGATGATTTTTAAGCCTCAATCAATTTGTATAAAAAAATCAAGATTTGTCATATTGATGTCCTATTCTTCTAAAGTCTAAGTCTATAGATCTAATGAGCTTCTTTTTGAAGAAATAATTTTAATCCTATATCTTAGATTTTGAACTTGTTGTTCCAATTCTTATAATTGTTTCTCTATATTATCGATATGAGATACCTTATCTTAAATTTCCTTTTTAGTTTGATATAATTTTCTTTTAAGAGATGATATTTCTGATCTTAACTCTGATTTTTCTCTTTTGAAGTATTCTCAAGCTGTTTCAGTTCTTTATTGAGGGATTGAATTTTATTCTCACATCAGGTATACTTACACTTTAGCTTATTTATATATTTCTTATTTAACCTATTAATTGAAATTTCGTTAGATAACTCATCTCTCAAAACTTGATTATTTGCTTCAGTTCCAATTTCTGATTAGATGCTAATCTATAAAATATTCTATTAGGATGTGATCAATGAAATGCTATAGCTATTTTTATAATATAATATATTAACTTATTTTCTGATTTTATTAAACATAATAAGTAATATCAAAAATGAGTAAATTGAGCAAGCCTATTATTAGAATTGATTTAGATGAAAAATTAAATAATTTGTAAATTGCTTTTTACTGACTTATTTATTATCATTCTAATGTTCAAAAGTTGTATAATGTTATTAGAAATAAAGGATATAATTTTTCATATAAAAAAGTTTGTGAATGGTTGCATAACCAGAATGAATGATAAAAGTATATTCTATTACTAAAAAATATTTCATGAGTTAATTATGATAAAATTTCACGTTCAAATTATATACATCAAGCTAAATACTCTTTTTTACTCATAATCACTATAAGCAAAAGATATACAAAGCAGTCCTTAATATAATAGATATGGCTAGCAGATTCAAAATGAGTGTTCTTCTCATGTTGAAGAAAAGTTTAGAGATTGCTAAAGCATTTAGAAAAATTTACAATAATTTCAGAAATTCTCTTACTTATCCTCGATTATTACAAACAGATAATGACAAGTAGTAGATGGGTAAAACAACTTGATTAATAGAAGCATATGATGTTACAATCTGAGTTATTGGTTTATATTCTCATCATAGAATAGTAATTATAGAGATATTTAATAAAATTTTAGCAGAGATACTTTACAAGATTCAATATGCTGTTGAAAGTATAACTTCAAACTCTAAATTAATAAGAAAGTGGGTTAAGTATTTGCCAAAAGGTATTGATTATCTAAATAATTATCTGATATACCTCATTCAAGCTCTAGGTTCATTAAAAATGAGGTTTAGCTTCAGCAAAAGCTATCAAGTTAGAAAAAGTAGAATCTAAACCATCTACAAAGTATAAGTGTCTTGTTGGAAAATATGAGGAGAATAGGTTAAAGAAATGTGATACAGTTCGCTATCTACTTGTTAATGTAGAATGAGAAGGTGGTATAGAAAATCAGAGGCGTGTGATAGATGTGATATAGAGTCTAACTTTATTTAAAATTGGAAAAATTATTGTAACAAAAAACGAACCAGTTTTATATTACCTTAGAAGTGATGACAATGAATATACTCTAAAGCAGGGATTTATGAAAGAGGAGCTCATGTATATAGATCTAGAAAAGATCGAGTATCCATCTCAGAGTATATTAGAAAAAACACTCATTCCAGATCTGTTAATTTTGTTCATATTATTAATAAAATAGCTAAAGCCGTTACATATGCTGAGAAGCGTAGCAGAAAATATCTCAGTAAAACTGGCCAAATAAATGATTTCGATGTATATTTCTAGTCCTGTGAAAATGGAAAGCATCAATGAGAATATCCATATCTATTAATAGCTACGAAGTTTAAATGACGTCCCCTTTACTATCATATAATAGGTGAGCGTCAATGTCAATATATTTTTGAGGATTTATTAGATAAAAAATTTCCATCATGTGAATTAAAGTTCTTAGGTGGACTAAGACTAGATGAGTATAATGATGAACTAAAATTGGCATGAGAGTATCAAGGCGTCTAGCACTATAATTAGAATGCGATGTTTCATAAGAGTGGACGAATTGATTTGAATTAACAAAGGATACGTGATGAAAAAAATGGGAAATATGTAAAAGAGAGGGTATAGATTTTATTTTAATATTGTATGATACTAATTTATTGTTATATATAAAAATAAATTGCAAGAGAAAGGTTATTTATCATATAAAGAATAAATTTGCAAATATAAGTACCAATGTCATATATCGCTAAACACACTAAACTTACCTGAAATATTGGCCAAAATTTTCTTGAATTTAGAACACTATCTGATTTTATTCATCAATAAATTTTGGTATTCATGTGCGGGGTCGATTATCTAGCGTTATGCAGAGTTTGATAAAAGAATTCTAGCGTAATTCTAAAAATTCAAGAAAGTGATGCGTGAAAATCAAAAACCTCTTTACTGTTCTAAGCTATTACGACTCATTTTTTATGAATGTAAAATTTCAAATAAAAAATTAATCAAGATTGCTTGTGAAACTCCAAGATTACAATATCTAATTCTTAATAGCTGTAATGGTTTTTCTTATAAATCAACTGTGATTCTTTGAAAATGTAACTTAATCCAATTTGTGTCTAAACTTGAACTATCTTAGTCTGAGATATATTAAGCGTATTAGCGATATATCTATGATTAAAATTACATATTCCTGTTCCAAATTACAGTATCTTAGTTTGTGATTTTGTGATATTACAGATGAGATATTAAAAATAATTGCATATTCCTGTCCCAAACTCTAACATTTGAGACAAATATTTACCCTCAATTCGTAATATTCGTGCTTTATTAACCAAAATGATGCCTACCAGCTGGAGTGCTTACTTCGATGAAACAGATCTGGAAGATTACCATTTTCTGGATTTTTACGAGTACCGTTCGAAGCAAGCTGACTTTACTTTCTCTTTTATGAAAGAGGCATATAAGTTGCAGATGGATCTTGATCTTATCGCGAAAGATGGCTCAAAGGAAATGAAGGAAGTTGCAATCTAAATAAAAAATATTATTAAAGTATTTGTTTGATTTTCATATTATTATTCATTGCATAGCTGGTCAGCAGAGGGGCCTCTCATAGCTACGATGACAATGAAATGTTATCTACCTTATGGATGGAATGTCTGCTATGAGAAATGGAACTCTTTACAACTACGGTAAAACAATAGAATGTTGTAAACCTTATGGATGGAATGTCCATTGTACTTAGTATACTAATTCTGTGTGGACTAGTCAGGTTATACTATTATTAATATTAATTTTGTTAATTTATTATTATTTTGAGGGCCATCGCAAAATTCTTAATAATGTTGATATTTTTTTGAAAAAGGATCGAACTGAATATTAAGCTACAGAATCGGCTACAAAATGTAGAGGTTGTAGTTTTTCTTGTATATTTTATAAAGTTGGGATTTATATTAACTGTATTTCATTTTATCAATTACAGGTTGAGGGTACTAGCTTGTTGATAAGCACCTCTGTAGAGGCCCTTAAAACTGCAATTGGAAATATTAATTATACCACTGGAAATATTAATAATATGTTGGTGAAATATTATTGGCGATTAAATATTTTTTTACTATGCTAATGATATTCACAGAAATTACCAGGAAATCAGATCGATAACTCAACGCCTGGATCAATAATTGGACGCAAGCGAGCTTGTGAAAATGAAGAATTACCATAAACTTCTCCGAATAAGGTTAGCATGTAATTAAATTTATGAATAAGAATATCGTTTAATTTTCTAACTTCCTTTAAAATGCACAGACTAGAATGGGACCAAATTTACCCACAAATATCTTTCTCAAGGTAAAAAATACTGATGACGATATTTTAGAACCTAGCCATATAGTTGAAATATGTATTTTCTAACTGTGAATATATTATCTTTACGATTTCTTTTAGAAAAATGTAAGTTCTACGATTGAGACTGGTGAAAAATCACCTGCCGAATCTAATTTGGAAGAGAGAGATATGAAATCAAATGGCGAATAGATCACAGACGTATTTTGACATTGCTGTTTTTTATGCATAGTAACTATGGTGCGAATGGTCTAAAGCCATCCAATATTTTAAAATGCAAAGAAATTTTATTTAAATATATAATTGTTAAAAA